AGCCTTGTCAGCACCTGTCACATGCACACTCAGCTTTGCTGAAATTACGGGCATTCTGTTGAAGATTTCTGGTGAAGTAGAAAGCACGTGAATCTTACTGTTCAATCATCCACTTTCCACACGCACCATCAGCTCATGGGTACCACAGATAACTTTGCCAAAGATCTCTGACAAAGTTTAGACAAGTGAAGCTTGCAGCTCCCACTACATCGCTATGACCAAGAAGGGTAAAAGAATAGCAAAGAAACAGCACTAACAAAGTTTAGAAACATAAATTTTGAAGGTCTAGCTACCATATTATTACCCACAAGGGTAAAGGAACAGCACCACTGCTGGATAATTGGAAAGTTCATGTGTGTCAACCTCTGTGCTTCGTAGCAAGGTAGACTAGCAAACATGCCCAACCTTTACTCACATTTGAGAAAACACTCCCAACAAGATTGCTTGCTCCAAAATTGAAGAGGCACCGTCCTTCTAATCTCGAGAGCCAGACTCCCAACATGATTACTTTCTCAAAAATCGAAGAGACACTGCTCTCCGAATCTTAAGAGTCAGACTCCCAGCAGGATTGCTCTCTCAAAAATCGAAGAGGCACCGTTCTCCGAATCTTGAGAGCCAGATCCTCAACAGGATTGCTTGTTCGAAAACCAAAGAGGCACCGCTTTCTCAACTTCGAGAGCCAGATCTCCTTAGATAAAGCTTGTCTGTAATCTTCACACGCAACATCAGTTTTCCAGATACCACATACCACTTTTTCAAAGTGCTCTGACACACGTGAAGCTGGCAGCTCCCACTACCGTGTTATGACCAAGCAGGGTAAAGGAATATCATTATTACTTGTTGTTAGGGAAACTCCTATATATGTCGACATCCATCCTCAACGGACAGACAGACCTGCAAAAATGCTCAACCCTTCCTCATATCTGAGAGGGCACTCCCAACGAAGCCTCTCGAAATACTCAGCTTTCTTTCCCCCCGATAATACCTCTGCAAACAAGCTACACCAAAGCAAGAATATCTCATATCATCAGGGTTAAAAACAAGAGTATCCCATATCATACTTTTTCCCTGTCTTTTCCTTTAGCCTTGTTCTTACCTGCAAGACAAGGAGAAAGAGAGCAATCAGTCAGCACTTGGAATCAAGCTTCCAGTCAGGAACTGACTACCTGGAACCCTTACCTGATTACTTACCTGGCATTGCTCTCGAGTACTCATCTTCAACATCTTATGCTTCCAGAGAAGATACCACATCTGTCTGAGGAACAGATAGGGAAAGTGAAAAGGATACAAGGAAGCATGTGGAGACAAGCGTAATAGAACACGTGCCGATACATCCATTACTTTGTCAACAGCAAAAGTATCCCATATCAGCAGGGTCGAACGTACTCTAGATTTGATAAACTTGTTTTGACCCTCAAATTCTTCAGTCGGCCTTATACTCTGGAGGAAACCAGAAAATCCTCCAGCCCAGTTCAAGAATAAACCTGTGAAAAGTTACTTCTTCAAAAGCAAAAGTATCTCATATCATCTATTCTCATTTTCTTCTCTTTATCCTTCATGCTGCCTGCAAGATAGGGAGAATGAGAATAATCAGCTGGAACTCGAAATCAAACTTCTGATCTGGGACTGATTGAGCTCTGATTGCCTACCCTGTCTGTCACCTCTTTCAACAGATCCCCTAGCTCGGCGACTTGGAGGACTCCTACTACATGGTTTGTATCGCGCTTGACCAAGCCTGAAACTATAAGTAAGCTTCAAGTGAAATTGATACATTACCTTGTGCATCTCCACCAGTTAAAGATAACACCCCTGGATGGAGGAAGAGTACTTCCAGAGAAGATGCCACATCTACCTATGAGACAGATAAGGCAAGTGAAGATGAGAGCTTGAACCTATGTCATTTGTACTAAATCATTCACTTGTACTCACTAAAGGAGAGCTTGAACCTATGTACTTGTGTAAACCCTTCACAATTAATGAGAACTCCTCTACTCTGTGGACGTAGCCAATCTGGGTGAACCACGTACATCTTGTGTTTGCTTTCCTGTCTCTATCTATTTACATACTTATCCACACTAATGACCAGAGCAATCTAGCGAAGATCACAAACTTAATACTTTCTGTTGTACCAAAGTCCTCACTGATTGTGTGCATCAACAATCCTTAAGTCATTACCTTTTTGCGTTGGTAATGGATGAGTTAACAGGACATATTCAAGATGATATTCCCTGGTGTATGCTTTTCACAAACGATACAGTGTTGATGGATGAAACTCAGGATGAGTAAATGCGAAACTTAACCTTTGGAGAGAAGTGTTGGAATCTAAAGGTCTTCGCCTAAGCCGATCAAAGACAGAATATATGAAGTGCAAGTTCAGTGCAAATGGAGGCCAAAATGAGTTAGGGGTGAGGATCGAAGATCAGGAAATACCAAAGAGCGACTGTTTTCGCTACCTAGGATTTATCTTGCAAAAGAACGGAGAATTAGATGGAGATTTCAACCATAGAATACAAGCTGGATGGATGAAGTGGAAGAGTGCATCTGGCGTGTTGTGTGACTGTCGTAGGCCACTAAAGCTCAAGGGAAAATTTTATAGGACGGCAATAAGGTCGGCGATGCTGTATGGCACAAAATGTTGGGCGGTGAAGCATCAACAGGTACACAAAATGGGTTTGGACATGTGCAAAGAAGGCCTACTGACGCTCCGGTTCGAAGATGTGACTACGGGATAGAGGTTCAGGGCTGAAGGGGTAGAGGAAGACCTAGGAAAACTTTGGAAGAGACCTTAAGAAAAGACTTAGAGTACTTGGATCTAATGGAGGACATGACACAAAACCGAGCGCAATGGCGTTCTAGGATTCATATAGCCGACCCCACTTAGTGGGAAAAGGCTTTGTTGTTGTTGTTGTATCGTTGGTGAGTGGATTTCTATATGTTTGGATGTATATCGTCCAAAGTGTGTTGGGGAATCAAATATCCTTTTGCTCTTCTTTGCACTGTTTCGTTTAGATACTACATTTGCTAAATCTATGGCTGATTTATTTCTTTGCAGACTAATAGTGATTTTGATTCTAAACCCATGGTCATGCTTGTGGGTCAGTATTCAACTGGGAAAACAACATTTATTAAACATTTGTTACGATGCAACTATCCAGGTTGGTTAAGTTATCTCTATTTTATTTTTGAAATTATTAGTTGACAACCTCAGCGTTGAAGGGTTTAACATTCGTTTGTTGGAACAGGAGCTCACATTGGACCAGAACCTACTACAGATAGATTCGTTGTACTGATGGTATAATTGCTAATCACCTGGTTTCCTTCTAAAAAGTTTATCGAGTTTATTTCTTTACTTTCTGAGGTTTATATTGTATGTTAAATGTTTTTTGGTAATTCTAATTGTTGATTGCAATTCTGTTCTCAGTCTGGACCTGATGAGAGGAGTATTCCTGGAAATACTATAGTTGTTCATGCAGACCTGCCTTCCAGTGATCTAACAACTTTCGGAGGTGCATTTTTATCAAAATTTGAGTGTTCACAAATGCCACATCCAGTGAGTTTTGAACTCTTTATAATCTTCTATTTATATAGCATTTCTGCTGATTTTGTCACCATAATCTTCCTCTTGGATTGTGTTAATCTTCCTTTTCCTATGGTTATAGTTGCTAAATGAAATTACATTTGTAGACACCCCTGGAGTTCTATCTGAAGAAAAGCAACGAACAAGGGAGCTACGATTTCACTGTTGCTATATCATGGTTTGCAGCAAAATGTGATGTCATTCTTCTTCTGTTTAATCCTCATACGCTCGACATCAGCGATGAATTTAAACGTGTAATTTCATCTCTGCATGGTCATGATGACAAGATTCGAGTGGTCTTGAATAAAGCTGATCAAGTTGATACTCAACAAGTGAGATGTACCTCGCGTTTATATTGCCTATTATACTTTTTGTTGAAAGAAATTTTCAAGTTCTTAACTTTTTGTCTACATACTGAAGCTGATGAGAGTTTATGGGGCATTGATGTGGTCGCTTGGAAAAGTTGTGAATATTCCAGAGGTTGTGCGTGTTTATATCGGGCAGGCTTTCTTTTTCCAAAGTGGTTAATCCTTTGGGATTGGATGCATAATTGATTTGATCGAATATTGTTATTTCTTCATGGCTTTGCAGCTCATTCAATGATAAGCCTGTCAACGAAGGAATTGTTGGTCCTATCGGCAAAGAACTGTTTGAAAAAGAACAAGATGACCTCCTATCAGATCTGGTTGATATACCTAAGAAAGCATGTGATCGCCGGGTAAGATTCTGTCTCATTTCGATCTTTCTTGATTTTGTTTTGGTTGATAGACGAAAGAAGACTTGGTTGCTCTTCCTGTTTGCATTCCGTTTAATTCCCTTCACCTATATACAGTGGCGGATCCAGGAATCTTACCCCAAGGGGTCGCAGTGTAAAAGTTCAAATAAAAATTTAGGATGGAAAAACATATTGAAAATGAAATCATAGTACTTTCATTCATAATTCATAATGGAAACAATATTACAAACTATAATTGTCCACGACGAGGTTTCATATTTTGAAAACGAAGCATTATAGCTTCATTTTCAATACAAGCAAAAATATCTCTCTCAATATAAACAAGCAAGCTATCACTCAACCATTGATCTCCCATTTTGTTCCTAAGTGGACCCTTAACAATATTCATGACAGAAAATGCTCTCTCCACTGAAGCAGTTGCAACTGGTAAAACTAAAGACAATGTAATGAGCAAAAATATACATAATTGAATACTTGATGCATCCTTGTCTCCACCATTTTTTTTGCAAGATCACCAATCCCTTCCAATTGAGAGAAATCACTACTGGAACACACACATAATGAATATAAATCTCAAGTTGATCTTCAAGTGCCAAACGATCTTCATCCGAAAAAGTCTTGAGGATAAAATTGAGCAAGACGAAGTAACTTTGGTTTATCAAAAGCTACAAATGAATCCTTCGGACTCAAACATGCCATACAAATAAGCAACTCGGTATTTACCTCATTAAAGCGATCCTCTAACTCCGTAATTTGCTCATCAATGACATAAATAAAGAGCTCCACACGATAATGATGACGATTTGTCTTTATTGGAGCATAACGCCTTGACCTCCCTGGAAGTATAAATGCCTCTTCCATGTTAGGAACATCAATATGATGTTTTTCACAAAAAGAAGATACTTCATCAACCAATGCATCGAACCCATTATTCCTCATCCACTATAGCTTTTCCTTGCATGATTTCACTAAAGCCATTGCATTCACAATTTCTTGATCTTTCCTTTGCAATGCTTGTGACAAATCATTTGTGAGTCCCAATATGACTTTCATCAAGAAAAGGTGAAACACAAACTCAAAAGTAAGTATCACTCTCATTAACGTATTTGCTTCACCCGCACTTTCATTGGGATTATCATCAATAACCATTTGAAGCACATGAACCACGGATGAAAACATAGAAATGATGCTAATCAAGGTACCATAGTGTGAGTTCCATCGTGTGTCACCGGCACGTTTGAGACTTGTTTCTTGATTTAAGCCTCGCCCCGTTATAAGACAATCATTTTCAAAAGCTATCACAAGCTCTTCTTGAAGTTGCCCTCTAAGTGAATCACGCCGCTTACAAGATGCTCCAACATGATTAACTACATTATTAGCCGTTGCAAAAAAAGAGGCAATGTCTATATTATTCTTTGCTACGGCAACAAGAGCTAGTTGAAGTTGATGAGCAAAGCAATGAACATAATATGCACAAGGTTGTTCTCTCAATATCTTTGTTTTAAGGCCATTCAACTCACCTCTCATATTGCTAGCACCATCATAACCTTGTCCTCGTAGCTTGGAAATGCTCAAACCGTAGCGAGAAAACAATGTGTCAATAGCATCCTTTAGTGAACTTGAAGTAGTGTCGGTAACATGTTGGATACCCACAAATCTTTCAATTACATGCCCGTTGTCATCCACATAACGCAACACCATAGCCATTTGCTCTTTCACAGACACATCACGTGCTTCATCCACCAATATTGAAAAGAATTTATCTTTTTAGACCATCCATGATAGCATCAAGTGTTTCAAGGGCACATGAATTCACAATTTCTTTTTGAATGGAAGGAGCTAGTAATTTGAGATTCCCCGGAGCATTTTCCATCACAACTTCTCTAACTTTATCATTATTATCTGCAAGGAATTGCAATAACTCCAAGTAATTTCCCCTATTGCTTGAAGTGGCACTTTCATCATGGCCACGAAAAGGAAGACCTTGTCGCAATAAAAACTTAGTGCACTTGATTGAAGCAATCAAGCATGTGCGATAAGCCTTACGAGTTTGGTCAGAGTGTTTGCTCACTGCCGTTTCAATATGTGTAGCTTGATTCATCAAATTTGTAGCAGCTTTCTCTAGCCTTATTATGAACACTCCCAACCGGTCCAACATGCATCTTAAATCTTTCTCTCCCTTTCTTCCAATTCTTAAATCCATCTCCAGTGAAAGCTTCACTACCCACTTGTTCAAAATTGGTTTTAAAGAGATAGCAATAGAGACAAAATGCCGCATCTTTAGATACACTATACTCCAACCAATCAAACTCATCAAACCATTGGGGAATGAAGCGTCGATTAATTCCCGACATATTAGTTATTGGGAAATTATGACATCTAGGTTGACAAGGTCCTTTTTGTAGATATAATCTTCGGACCTCATCTCTCATATTAGCGTCATAATCTATTATTCGAGTTCTTAATCCAGGATCCGCTTGAAGATTACCCAAAACATCATCTAACTGACTTTGTCTTGAACTTGGAGTTCTTGAACTACCAACAGTATTTGAACTATCAAACATTATTCGAACTACCCGAACCCGATGATGACTTTCTCTTAAAAAACCGTTCCATAATAATGCTTGCTACATATACAAAATATTCAAAATAAATACTCACAATATAAACAAACCATAAACATAATCAAAATAAATATGAATTGGATTTTCAATTAAATTAAATATCTCATCTTGCATTCTAATTTCTACATATACAAAATAATGAAAATAAAAACTCACAATATAAACAAACCATCAATATAATCAAAATAAATATGAATTGAATTTCAATTAAATTAAATATATTCTACATATACAAAATATTCAAAATAAATACTCACACAATATAAACAAACCATAAACATAATCAAAATAAATATGAATTGGATTTCAATTAAATTAAATATCTCATCTTGCATTCTACATCTACAAAATAATGAAAATAAAAAATCACAATATAAACAAACCATCAATAAAACCAAACCAATAAAAACTCACAATATAAACAAATCATCAATATAAACAAACCATCAATAAAAACTCACAATAAAAACTCACAAAATAAATATGAATTGAATTTCAATTAATTAAATATATTCTACATATACAAAATATTCAAAATAAATACTCACATCACAATATAAAAACCAAGGGAGGAGATGGAGTTGGAGCCGCCAGCAGAGGAGCAGCAAGGGAGGAGATGGAGTTCACGTTGAGGGTTTGGGGGCAGCAGCAGCAAGGGAGGAGAGGAGTTGAGGATTTGGGGGTATTGAGTTAGGGTTGAAGGATGAAAAATTGGGGCTTTTAATTGTATAGGGGTTGGGTAGGAAAGGCTGGGATGGGGGGGGGGGACACGGTGGGAATTAAAATTTTTTTTTTTTTTTCGGCCTGGCCCAAAACGACGTCGTTTTGGCCAGGTCATTTAAAAAAATTTCCTGGGCCAAAACGACGCCGTTTTGCCCGTATGTTTTGAAAAAAAAGAAGCGCGCAGCTTCTTCTTCCTCTTCCTGCAGTGCCGAGCTTCGTTCAGGATTTTTGTCGAACACTTGGCGTGCGACTCCGACCCCGACGACCCCGACGACCCCAGCTCCAAGAGGTCGCGTATGGGAGCTTCAAGGTTGTTTCCATGGTTTCCAAGGGGTCGTGCGACCCCGACGACCCCACTGTGGATCCGCCCCTGCCTATATATGTCGTATATTGCAGATCAATGAATTTGTAAAACGTGCTAGAGCTGCTAAGATTCATGCCTACATAATGAGTCATCTGAAGAAGGAGATGCCTACTATGATGAGAAAATCTAAGGCTCAGCGAAAACTCATCGACAACCTCGAATAGGAATTTGCAAAGGTTTATCGATTCTTAAGCAACACTCTTTGATCTTTACACCTATATCTAGCAGGCATGATTACTCTTGTTAATTTTTCCAAAAACAGGTTCAGAGGGACTTTCATTTACCAGCCGGCGACTTTCCAGACGTGGAGCACTTCCGGGAGGTGTTGGGCGGCTATAACATCGATAAATTCGACAAGTTGAAGCCGAAAATGATTCAAGCTGTGGATGACATGCTTGGCTATGACATCCCTGAGCTTTTAAAGAAATTCAGAAATCCCTACAATTGATAGTGTTACAATTTTTGGTATATGCCATGATACAATCAAGATTTATAGAGATTAATATTTGATTGTTGGAGTTTATCTTTAGTCGAATACTTTTGAGACTTGCATTGTCCATGGGCATGTAAGAGATGATTTTGAGCTTAATAATCAAAGTTTTAGCTTTTCTTAAGCTAAATAACGATGTTTGTGCTACCCTTACTAAGAGAGTTATGCATTATTAGCTTGAAATATTGTTGGAGATATTTTAGGTGCACGTAAAGTTTTTTACAATTAAGGTTGATGAAGCGACAGTTCGTATTTAGATAACTCTATTTTGATCAAAATGTCGTCTATTTATAGATTCTTCATATTGTGATTTTTGAAAAACAATATTTTACTTTAAATTAATTTAAATTGTAAAAAGAATGATTCAAACTTGAATGCATAATAAGAGGTGTTAATGCTATAACCAACATAACTATTGCCGTACTAGTGTCAATTTTATTCCCAAGCAATGACAAAGTATTTATGTGAAATTCCATCCCCGAAATTTCATTATTCATTACGTATCTCGTTATTACAAACGACTGAGTTCAGGCGTAGTGAAAAATTGGAACGTGGAACCCGAAAGATTTTACAAAACAAGTACCAATCATTTTATTCAAAGTAGAAAGAAAAGATAATACCACTAAATATAAAATATTATTGATAGAATAAAATATTAATAAAACAAGAAAGAGGGGAAGGGTGGGGAACCATCGAGAAAAAGAAAGGGAAAACAGGAGACGGGGAATGGGCGTGGGAAAAAAAGAAGGGGAGGGGGGAGAGGCCATTGTCTTCTTCTTCCTCCTTTACTCACTTCACCCCTTGTAAACTATTTTCATCATAACTTCCTCATACGATAATGAAATCACACAAGGCTGGAAGTTATATTTTTGTAGTAAAGTTGTCTTCAATCTGATACTATACCCACCCTTTGAAAACCGGTGTACAAAGAAAATGAGGTCCAAATGTATTGACGTTTCTGGCGACTTTTCTCTGATTTCGGTTCACCCCTTTAAGTGAAGATAATGATTCTTTCCTCATGGGCTCTCCTCTAGCGTAAGTTTTTCCCAAGGTGTTAACTTTCAGTTTTGGGATCTGTTCTTGATTTCGAATTTCAAATTGGTATTATGTATGAATATTTGAGATGATACTTAGTTGTATTGTTTAGGAGTTGAAACAGAACTGGGCAATAAGGATTGGTTGCATATTTAGGGAAGAACCTTGAAATCCTAACCTCGATTTGGTTCTCTTTAGAAATGTAAGAATTGGGTTTCTTTTATAAGTATTAATGTTATTCCATAATCGAAGCCAAATACATTTGAATATTTTAGGTGCCATATTTGTCCTACCCTTGAAGAACATTGCTGAATTTGTATGTGTTGTAGCCTAGGTTTGTGTTTGTGTAGATAATTAGAGTTCTAAAACTATTGAGCGGTTCTATATTTTCCATGACATTGTCAGATGCTGATGCTAAATACTTGATTGGACAATGCTATTACTAGAGTAGTATATGACTCTTGGTTTTGGCCATTGATATATTGGTGGTTCTTTATTCTTTCTTTCAGCAGATGAAGAGTTAATACTACTAGGAATTTATATTTTTATTTTGAGGCACTTGAATAAACAGTATGGTTTTCTATGTTAATTATTAAGAATCATTGATATGGTTTGATAGATCCAATTTGGTGTGATTACTATTCAATTAAGTACTTCACCTTTATACGTATCATGTTGTTTGCCTAAGTGGTAGAATGATGTCCCATTAGACATAATTATCTATACGCATGCTTATACTGAAACCAAAATCAAGTTGATTCACGTTCTGAAGTTATATGTATATGTCTCATATGTGTAGACAAGCTGTACAAAGAAAGCATCCAGTTTTTAGTAGTTATTCTGATTACATGTATGTAGTAATGTCTTGTTATAGTGATCGGAGTTATTGAATTGGTGAACTACGAATGGCTTGATCCCTATTGAGGGTACGTAGGCACTCTAACGGGGAGGTTAAATGCAGCCATAAAGTATAAGAAAAATTATCACGCCATACAAAGCTTGAGTTGTGCATTGTCCATATCCCGGAGGCGGGGTATGGGAGTTATGCGGGTATTTGATGACGTCACGTGTCGATCCTAGACGTATGTCGGGATCAGGGCGTGACAATTTATCACTAAATGATAATTACCCATAGACCTGTTTTTTAACAAACATTAGGGGTAATGGGTTAAATTGTTAGCTGTTAGGGGGAAGAAGGATCGGTGGGGATCAGTGACTATACAACAGCACTAAAATATATATAAATGATTATTTTTCGCTACTGTGGTGAAGTGTCATCTGCAACCAAATACCATTCTAGCACACATATGCATTTTCTCTTGGAAGATATACCATTTCTCCTTCAGACTTATACAAAACTCATGCAAACCTATCAGTTAGAGACAGGTGGCATACTGCCCTACTCTTCCACATCTCTCTCGATTTTCGATCGTCGGGTTGAATGAACTAAAGGAGATCAATGGCTAAAAATCAACAAGTTTGTGTGGAAAATGAAAATAGGTGTGTAAATTGCAATCTCTTAAGTGGCCCTTTATTATAGTGGTAAAAATGTGTTGTGCCATTGTATGACGGCGTGGGTTCAAATCCCGTCAATGGCGAATTTGATTATCACCAAAGGTGAATTTGAACCATATTATTGCTAAATCATTGTGAGGTTTAGCTCACTCCCTCAGTCTTTCATCCTTTAGTGTAGATAATATCGTTTGTTAAAAAAATAGCAATCTCCTTTCTTTTACTCTTTTTTCCTCAAACTCATATGTTTTATCTTATTCAATTAAATATTTGTAGGACTCCATCTTCAAAACAAATCACTCAAAAAAAACTAGGGTCCATACAACAAAATGTTTAAAAAATAAAATGACATCAATTTTTCTCATATGTCAAAATTGGTAGACTTGGCAGCACACAGTATGTATGCCAATCCACGTAGGATTGACATATCAATTATAGCTTTTATTTAAGGTCAGCACTACCGAATTTTCTCAAGATTAAAAGCCTCACACTAAAAATGAGAAGAATTCTCAACATTGAGAGAAAGACACTCACTCGGAGAGAAAATTCATATGTTTAACTTCTTTGGAAATATATTTTAAGAGTGAAAACTGAAATCTGCTCAAATAAAAAACCGAGGTTAAAGTTTTTTTTTCTAGGAGTAAATTATGAAGAAAATGGGATGAACAAGTGTCCGAAGTGTTTGGAGCACAAAATGTTGCTTCCACCTTCATCACCCGATACCATTTAGCAAATTTCGTGGCAGAAACACAGTGCAAAATAATACTGAGGAAAATTACCAACACATTTTCATTCAGTTCAAATGGGCAGGTCCCTGATTTTCTCCCCAAACCTTCCTCTCAGAATTTCTCAAATACCAAGATCAAATTTACCGCCCAATCGACCAGATTACTCACTTTTACTGAATTCAAAGCAAAAATTGCAACATGGGCTTCAAAGATTTGGACTTTCGATTGCCAAACCGACGAGAAGTCTCTGCACAAAGGCTGTGTTCTCTGAAATTCCAAACCCGGAGCTGTATGTGAAAGTTGGGGCCAAATCAACTGGACCAATTCCAATTGGTCAGCTCGTTGGAGTGGTAGAGAAGGCCGCTAAGACTGGCGCTGAGGTTGCTCTTTAGCTCTGTTTTTGTAATTCTTTGAATGTGCCAGCATTGTGTAAATTCTGTAATTTGAATAAGAACCCAGATGGAATTTGCATTTGTTTCTTGGGGGATTGCTTGAATTTTATTGTTTTTAATCCTGTTCAGTATGTTAATTTGATTTTGGAAGCATTGTTGGCTTTTGATCATGCCTTTGTTTGCTCTGAGAGTGTCTTATTCTACTCCGGTAACGTCTTTTTCCCGTTAAATATATGTTTAGGGAATAAAAGTTGTTAAATTTCATCCTAATAGGAGTTAGCAACTAATAGTCAAAATATTTTTACAAAAAAGAGGTACTAAAGGAGAAAAACATTGCCGGTGTAATATATGATGACATTGTTTTGTTGCTAGAGAGTATGTTGATTCAACGCCTTAGGTGTAGTACTTGCCGTTTTGTCCATTACTGAATCATCATGAATTCCTTATAGCTTATGTTATTTGCGTCACTTTTCAGGTTGTGATGGATGCTGTTAATAAGCCTCGGGATATCACCTATAAAGGACTAACAGACTTGGTCACTAAGTAAGAACTGAATTGACATGCTTTCACTAGTTTTGTATGTTTTGATGCTTCAATTGACTTGTAGTGATAACACTTTCTAGAATAGACTAGAGTAGAGGTTGAAACTTACATGTAAAGGTTGAACCTTTTACAAGCAAGATACACTAATCATGAAGGAACTTCTAAGTATCACCTTATTCTTGGAGAGGAGGTGGAATAACTGGAGATGCATCATCTGATTATATGTGGTGCATTGATCATTTAGGTTAGTATCTTCTAAGGGGCAGTATAGGTATGCTTGTGCATATTGGGTTTTTCAAGACCACCAAGTATGATATGGTTCATGATAGTGGTGTGTTTCAGAACATGATTTACTGTAAATCAGTTACCAGGTTGTTTCAGCCATCGTAATTCTTGCCTCAATACTTTTGACTCATACTTTTTCATAACAAATTGTTGCAGTGTAAATATTATGATTTTGTATATAGACGGCAGTTCATATACTTAATACATACATGAATGTTTAGAGATGAACTTTCTAATGACAGATATGAAATTGGAAAGAGCTATTAGGGTGGTAGCTGGATTGTCGTTTTATATCCAGATACCTTTAATAAGAATAGCCTGAAAATTCTTAGTTTTGTCTTATCTAACCTCTGATATCTTCGTAGATGGAACAACAAATTTTGCACATGGTTATTCTAGCTTTGCAGTTTCTGTTGGAGTTTTATTTCGAGGAAGACCTGTTGCTGCTGCAGTGGTACTGATCACATATAGTAGATTTTATTTGACATGTTGCTTGCATGATTGCATGATATGTTAAGATGTCTATTTGATTTTCTAGTACTTCCCTTCTCATGTGGGCCTCATTATTAGAGTCAAGAGTGTCTTCAACTTATATTGCAAGGTTGCGATGTGATGATTTGAGCTCAGGATCTCTTACTCTGTTACCATGATAAATATTATTTATTTACCATTGTTTTCAAAAGCTCGAACTGTTAGGATGTGGACCAAAAATCATCTATTACTATAACGTCTATGACTGACATAGTGGAAATTAACATGTTGGTTTTCTGTTTATATTTTCAGATAGAGTTCGTTGGGGGCCCTGTGTTGGAATACCCGCATTTTTTCTGCTAGTGCTTGTATGGAAGTTCTTCCTAAATAGTTGCCTTAGTCTTAATTGATTTTGTAATTGTACTAATGATGTTGAGCTCAATCGATAATCTGTGTTATGATAGGAGGGGGAGCATTTTGTAATGGCCAAAGAATTCACGTGAGCCAAACTGATGAGCTTAATATTCCTTTTATTAGAAGAAAAAGAATTTTGAAATCTATAACTATGTCGAATCGTGTTACTTTAGGTCGATGACTAAGTCTGATCTTATTTGATGTTAGAATATTTGCAGTGGTATATTGATTAACACTTACTGCTATTCCTTTGTACTAGAATGCAATAAATAAAGGTACAAAACCATAACATACCTTAGGCTGTGATTATCTTTACCCAATTTTCTTCAGAAATTCCAACCACCACCAGAATGTTAGGCATAAAGGTAGTAAGTTAGAAACTAGAAAAGGTATTAGAGAGAAAGATGAGCTATCTCATGTGTATCGCTTACTGTATAAAGGAGAAACCATTTTATATTTTATTTAGGCTCATACTCTTCCATATTTGAGGTGGGACGATCTCTTCTTGTTACTGGATTTGGTTATGAACAAGATGATGTGTGGATCACCAACATAGAGTTATTTAAAGAGTTCACCTACATCAGAAGGGTAATAGCCTTTCGTTTTAGTGCTAAGCAATTTTTATTTGAGCTTTAGCTTTGGGATTAATTAACTTCCTATTCCCTCTCTCTCTTCATGTTTGTGACTTGAACTCTTTTTTCCCCATGGTATTTTCCCTACATCGTAATGTTTAGGGTGTAAGCAGGCTCAGTGCAGCTGCGGTAGACATGTGCCATGTAGCTCTTTGGATTGTAGAAGCCCACTGGGAATATCGACTAAAGCCATGGGATACAGCAGCTGGTGTTTTGGTAATGTTTTGTCTTCTCATAAATGCATTTGTTTGGTGTTTGTGGAATAGTAATATTTGGAAGTCTATTGTTATAACACTCAATTGAATACGTTCTTGTTTTGGGTTTGTGGAAACATAATACATCGGCAGAGATTTTTGTTTTATATCTCTCAATTTTTTTTTTTTTCCTAAAGCAATTTGGTCTGATTTTTTATTTGCATTATATGACATATTGTTCAGGTTTTTCTTTTCGATTTTGTTTTTACTTTGTTACGAGACCCTAAATAATCATTGATACTTTCTTATACATGGGTTAGTTCTTTTTATTTTTCCTAGTTGAATACCTGGAAAGAGTTGTGATAACTCAAAAGTATACATCGGAAATCGAGCACATAACAAAATAATGCATCAATTGACAGTTTGGTTTCAGTATGAACAATTTACACGGGAAGAATATACAAATAATAGACTTTCTGTCATTAGAAATATCCTTTACGTTTTTATGGCAAGTGTTTGGAAGTGTTGCTTCGGACAACCTCTTGTGACAAGATGCTTGAACTGATGCATGAAAATTATAGTTCACTTTTCTCTCTGCAGAATCGTGGCATCCAGAAGTGTGATTTAAAGAATTCATAGAATTTGGTATGGCAATTCATAGAACTTGGGAGCAGCCTCTCCATAAAATGGGGGTAAGGCTAGCCGACATTCACCTCTCCCAGACCCTGCGTAAAGCGGGAGCCTTGTGCACTGGGTACGACCTTTTTTAGTTGAAGAGGCTGGAGTAAAGGTTACATGCATGGATGGCGGAAAATTCTCTGTATTTGAAAGATCTATCTTGGTATCGAACTGTGTGCTGCATGGCAAGGTTAGTCTTCTGCTTTATCCAGAATCTAATTACAAAACCTTACGTGTTAAGATCGAACTACGGTTATAGAATGCAAGATCTTAACTCTTCATTGCCTTTCTGTTACTACCACTAATCTTGTTCACTAGTTATATAACCATTTACGAAGAGTCAAAGGTCAATTCAGTTTCCCTAACTTGATGTATGTTTCTACCGATGAAGTGGCAAGCTTTCCTTTACCTTTCCATATTTTTCCTCAAATTTTTGTGTTAGGTTAGGTCGGGGGGTGGGTGGGAGGTGAGTAGAGCAGATGTTTACTGTAAGTCCGTAACAGAGCTTTTAGTAGTGCTATAGTTTCCTGTAAAAGACGCAGTAGATTGTAATCATATTAAATGCACTAGTGGTTTTAAAGAAATAATTCTAGAATTTAATTTTTGTAAAATGCAGCTCTTAGAGAAGGTTGCACCTGCAACAGAGAAATTGAAGAGCAAAGGAATTAATTTCTCATCATGGTAGTGGTACAAGCCCGAAGATTACACAAGAGACATTTGATGCGCCTGAAAGTTCATTTTTTCTTTGTTTTTGCCAATGGTGCTGAGAAGATATCTTCCACAGGAAGGTGGTCTCTCATTGTTTCATTGGTGACTTTCGCTGTAACGTGCATTTCAAGCGCGTGATATATATGTTATATCTCAACATGTCTTCCTTTACTGATATGAATATTGCTTTAGGGGTTTTAGTACAGCATAGCATGTTTTCCTATGTTGCTTTAGGCAAGTGGAATAGGTGTGAATTGCTGTAATTCAGAAATAATCGTCGATAATGATCATGGATCGATCTTTATCGTCAAGAAATTGGTCCTATGTGGAATCACTACTCTTTCTTTACCGAAGCAGAAAGAAAAATGTGAATTTGGGCAGTAGTTAAAAGCGTATCATCCTTCCATTATTATTCTGTTCCCATCATTTCTTACATACGCACTTGTCTTATTTCTGCTTTAAAAAAATGAAAATCAGAACGTTATTTCTCTGCTCGTAAGGGAAGTTGCTGGGTACTCTGCAACTTATTTAGGAGTAATGTCGACACCCTTGATAACAAGCCCTTTCTTCCATTTCCCAACAGTTTGACGGAGCATAAAATACATCCGGCCAGATTGCCCAGGCGATGTTGTAAATTCGGCAACTCGGACATAACTCCACCATCTTCCTTTTGTCCTCAGATCAAGTGTAGAGTTTCTCGGGACAATCTGCAGGTTCTGAGGGGGAGTGACGCTGAATTCGACTTTATCTTCCCATCCATATTTTGGGTCCTTCATCATGATTATATATGAAACTTCATACACAGTTCCGGGTGTCAGGTATGCGGTCTCAAAATCCCCTTTCACTTCTAGCGATAATACATCTAACAGTTCAGCAGCATCAACGTAGACAGAACTGCAATTAAACCCTAAGTTAGGACCGATTACTATATAGCAGTAACCAATATCAATTGTGATATACGGATTCAAGTTTTCGGTACCTGGCTGCGTACACGGGGTTCCAGCGCCAGTAACGATCGTCTTCACCGAAAGTGATTGTGAGAGCTCTTGCATACAGCACAAAACAGTTGTTGCCCTCCCTATCAACCCAATACCTTTTCTAATAATAGTCAAGAAAATAATGGGATAAACATGATTGTTGATATTTCAAGCTGTAGTAAGAGTTCATCTTTTAATATATTTAAAAGACAATGATTTCCGCACACCCGTTTTCTTCTGTTGCACACCCTGTTTATTTCTGCCCTTTAATTGATTCTCCTTTTGTTTATACAAATATTCAAATGCAATAAACAAACACGTGTGTCCAGACGGAGAAAATGAGTGTGCTGAACTTCAGTAAGAATTAGAACAATTTCACATTTCTGAAGCATGTTTGATAATTTCACACGAAAACTGAAAAACAAAGAGCCGGAAATTCTTTTTAAAATTGTCAGAAAGTTAAATGCATGGATTTCACCTTTTTCGGTTGGTCGAAAATTCCTGGATATTTGACCTTCGAAGGGACTTTTGCAGGTGAGGACGAGTCGTTACTTGCCAAAATCTTTCAGAATGTCTTCATACTTATGTGGGAATGACCGCTTTTCCTCTTGCGCTTTAGCATCAGTAGCCATCCTTCGTGCAGTTATTCAATCATGTTTTAACTATATATACATAGGAAGACAGGGCTAAGCCAGTCATTTCCACAAGTCCCCGCAACTTGCGGATGAGGATAAGAAAGATGCCTTGCGTTGCTAACCTTTAATTCTTTAAAATGTAGATATCAAGCATGAATTCTTTTTATTTTACTTTGGAATCTCTTCCATGTGGGAAAGCACAATATTGGAAAGCACTTTCGAAAAAACCTTTTATTCCATATGCTAAAGCTTTTGTTTGTTGATCATATATATTTCATTATGCAAATAGAATTCATTTTCATAAAATGCAGAAGAAAGATGACTTGCGTTGCGAACCTTTTATTCTATGAAATATATATATGCCTTTTCTTCCATATGCTAAAGCTTTTGTTTGTTGATCGAATATATTTCATTATGCAGAAGAATAGCATTCATTCTCAGATAATGCAGAAGAAAGATGCCTTGCGTTGCGAACCTTTTATTCTATAAAATGTAGATATCAAGCATGAATTCCTTTTATTTTACTTTGGAATTTCGACCATGTGGGAAAGCATTAGATTGGAAAGCACTTTCGAAAAAGCCTTTTATTCCATATGCTAAAGCTTTTGTTTGTCGATCATATATACTCCATTATGCAAAAGAATAGCATTCATTCTCAGATAATGCATCATACCCAAGGTCTAAAATATCGATATTATCAGTGATATTTCGCCGATAATATCGTTTTTGTGAGAGAGCGATATTTTAACACGTATCCACTTAATTATCGCTAAAATATCGTGATAATATCGCTCTAACAGAAGAACAGAGAAGAACGCCAGAGCTTCTACAGCTCCGGCCGACTGCAAACTACCACCCTAGACCCCGATCTAGGTACCAAACGAAAGCACAAGGCGAGAGGATTGCGTTTATACCTTCTGTTTGCCGTGAAATGACCTGTGGTGGTCGAAAAACCTCTCGACACCCACGGCCTCGCCGGAGATGGGTGTGCCTATTCCCGAGCCGATTTCGTCCCAAAAACCTTGGAAAAACACAAGATAGAACTTAAAATTTACATCTAAGCTTCAATCTAGTACAGAAAGAGGTAAACCCGAAGCTTACCTAACCGGAGAAATTCAAGAAACTCGTCGGAGGGTTCCTGCGTTCGCCGAGTTGCAGAGACGAGAATAAGAGGGAGAAAGACGAGGTTGCTGATGACGATGGGTGTTTTCCTCGAGCAGGTGCGATGGTGTGCGTATGTGTATGTGGGTCTCGGTGCAGAGAGAAATGAGAGAGATGAGAGTTTTGAGAGAGAAAGAGAGAGAGAAATAATGCAGAAAAGAAAGAAGAAGAAAAAAGGGGTTGCGGGGTCGAGGACAGAAAGAGAAGAATAAGGATTGTTGCTCGCTTCCCCGCGAGCTTCCTTTGCTTCGTGGAGCCGGTTGGTTCGGTGGTCCCTAGAGGATGATGAGGCTTTCTTTTTCATCACTTTTTGGGTTCTTGCAGGTATGACCTTTTGCGATGGCGGTAGGCCTTGGATATGTGCAGGAGGAGTTGCAATGGCAGTGGTGCTGAGGTTCATCGCTGTTGACTTTTCTGGCGGTGGCTGCTGTAGGCGAATGAGGAGTAGGGTTTTCTGTATTCTGTTTTTATGTGGGCTGGGCTCCAAAGCTGGCTTTGAACCTTGTCCTTAGTGTTGTGTGGGCCTGCTTTTTGTTTTAATATTGTATCTTGGCCCTTGTTTGTACTTACTTTTAGTTGGTAATGAATGTTTACCAGTTGTCCAAAAAAAAGGATTGTTGGGGTGCTGCCACGTGGCAGTTTGAGAGAAAAGAGAATCTTAAATGTAGATCTGGATTGGGTAATGGAAATTAGGACTAAATTGATAGATTCCATAAATATTTGGGGAAATATGGGCAGTTTGAGAGAGAAAAGAATCTTAAGTTTATGACTAACTATGCGCATGGGTTAACTATCATTTAACCCCTAAACTATTGCTGATAACTAATTCATTATATATAAATGATTATGGTGTGTCTAAACTTCTTTCATTAATTACTACATATTTTCTACACTCACAATGTTTGTCAGCTCGCTATATAATCAACTTAAATCAGTTAAATCCATCATGCAATGCATTTCCTTCCAATTTTATGTGATAAACTAATAGATAATTGACTAAATAAACATCCGGCAAAGTTTCAATAAAAATTTCCAAGTTTTTCTTACAATTTCCGTGGTTTTTATTCAATTTTTATCGATATCGATAATATCCCGATATTTCCATCGAAATTTTCGTGTTTTTGGACTACCGATATTTCCGATATCATCGATATTTTATACATTGATCATACCCTATATATTATTCTCAGCTTATAAAGTAATATTTGAATTTGCAAGTGATTACTATAAGTCTGCAACAGAGCTCTGAATAGTGCTACATCAGTAAATAGTTGTATTAGTAAACTACAACAAGTACAAGTTAGTTAGAAATTATTCCATCCCAATTTTGTAGCACATCAAAAAGTAAAGTTTATTTCACAACCCATAGGCCCCAACATGAAACACAAATCCTAATTTAAATTCTATGTATTAATTCATCTTACAAACAACCCATTTATTCCATAAATAATTGATATAGAAACTTCGAACTAAACACCCTACCTTACTATGCATGTCGAAGCTTCAATCACCACAAAAAATGGAACTTTCCAGCCAAAACATAAAATATGGTACAAAACCCAGCTCACTCTCACGTCTCTCACATTCCTTTGTTCTAAATCAGCGGTATGAGGTCAACCCAAAATCTAGCTCACTCTTCTCACCTCTCTTTGGACTTCCCTATCTTCGAAATTTGAGCTCAACCCAAAAATCCATAGCTCTCTCAACATCCCTTTCTCCCAAATGAGAAAAGTGATGCAATAAACTGATGATTTTTAGTATTTATAAGTGCGTATTTTAGTAATTTCAGTTTTGTGTATGGTGGCATAGCCGGTTTGTCATATTTCTATCCCAAGATTAAGAAAAAGGCCTATTCTTTTCCATTTCAATAATCAAATTGAGACAGAAGATGAAGAGAGAAGGTTGGTGGAAATCTCAAATCATTGCCATAACTTTCAATTCCAAATTCAAAGGGTGGAGGAGGAGCCGAAGGAGAAGAATGGTAGTGGAATCTCTGGGATGGCCAATCCAGTCTTCATTTTTTCCATTGTTGCAATTGACAGTCCTTCGATTAGATCCAGTCCATGGGGAGGACTTGACGGACAATGCGCAACGAGCGAGAGATTGTTGGAAAAAAACGAAGAACCCGACTAATAACACCGAAGTCGTGGAGAAGATAAATAAGTGGGCATGTGTCGTATAATACATCCGTTAGATTTTCCATCTATTGGTCTGTTAAATGCTGACGTGTCTGCCACATTTGTGTTGCTGTGACTGCCACGTAGCAAAAAAAAAAAATTTATACATTAAAAATATTATAATATTAACCCTATTAAAAAAAAAAAAACTTAGAAAACCCATATCCCATCACCCCCCTCCACCCCGAAACCCCACCCCTTCATCTCTTCCCCATCCGTCGTCCTTCCCTGCAACCCAAATCCAAAACCACTCCCACCCATCCTCCACATCCTCCTCGGCGCACCCATCTTCCCATCCCCTCATCCCCCCTACCCGAGCCCAACCTGCAACCCAAAAAAAATAAAAAAAATAAAACCATCTTTATCTTCCCCGAACCCCTTTCCCTGCAACCCTTCTCCCTCCCGTCTTCCTCAAACCCATCGTGCACCCATTCTCCACCTCCTCCTCAGCACCCACTATCTGCAACCCAGAAAAGAAAAGAAGAAAAAAAAAACCCATATCATTTTCCCTGCAACCCAGATCCCGTCTTCCCCAATGGGTGTGGATTTAAGGACTGGGGTGTGTAGAGGAGGGAAGAGGGTGGGTGCCGAGGGTGGGTGAGCAGGTGCGGGTGTGAAGGGGGGGTTAGGGCGAGGTGGGTCCCGGGGGGGGTTTGCTGGGTTTCTGGTTTTGGGGGTTGTGGGGATGTGTTTAATCAGCTTTAGATTTTGGTTTTTTTTTTCTTTTTTTTTTTAATTTTATTTATTTATTTAGAAGATTCAAGTTTTTTTTCTTTTTTTTGCTTGGTTAATTCGCATTAGGGGACTATACACATTATAGGGGTGACTCTGCTTGGTTAATCTGCAGTAGGGGTCATTGCCTGTTTAATGGATGCCGTCTGGTTAATCCGCATTGGGGAACCATACGTATCTTAGAGTGGGATTTCGTTGAGTGGTCCGAATACCCTGCTTCGCCTCGATTCCGTAGTGGTCCAGAATCAAATTCTATTCCAGATTCCATTGAGTTGATTCAGAGCTAAATTCCTAGATTTGTGTCGCTCTAGCTCGAGATTTTCAGTTGGTTTATTTATAATTTTACAAACCCTAGTTTTATAATGATATGAATAAATTTGGTTGGTGGATATTGGTAATTGTGGTTTCTTCTTGGAAAGACAAAATTAAATTAAAAAGTGAACTACGAATGACTTGATCTCGTCTATGGGTACGTAGGCAGTCTAACACAAAGGCTAGATGTAGCCATGAAATAAAAGGAAAAGTTACTAAGTTGTTGAACCATTTATTTGCGTTTTCGGTCATGTCTCAGAGGTGAGGCATGATAGATGTACCAGTACTAGTGACGTCACGTGTCGATCCTAGAATTATATCGAGATTGGGACGTGACAATTAGTACTATTCGGTTCCTTATATGAATTGCCAAATGAGGAACACGGATCCCCTTCAGATCCATTATGTTGGGAGGGATCCCTACATCTCAGCCGTACATAGTGAATCGTGCAGTCAGAAATCATTTTACTTTTATTATTTTAAATTAAACATAAATAGTACCTGACAAAAACTAATCACACGATTTATGATGAATGGTTGAGATTCCGTGTTACCAAATGAGGTCCGTATGTACGTAATTAGCTGCTTGACCGTTTTCCTCGGTGTCAGGTGGCAATAATTGTCAGTTAAAAAAAAAGTCTGTCTCCGCCCGCGCTTTTGCCTAGCTAAGAAAAACAAGTTTGTCTAGTTACGGAGAAACCCAAGATAAATGGAGAAATCGAAGATTGGGATGAGGTTCCAAGGCAAGGTGGCGATTGTGACGACTTCCACTCAGGGCATCGGCTTCGGTATCGCCGAGTGCCTAGGTTTGGAAGGCGCCTCCGTCGTCATCTCCTCCCGCAAGCAGGTCAGTCTAGGGCTGGGCACGGGCCGGGCCGAGCCGGGCCGGACCTAATTTTCAAGGAACCGGAGGTTAAAAGAAACGGGCCGGGCCGAGTCGGGTACATCATATTTCATTACAGGAATCGGACCGAACCCGGCCCGTTTCAAACGGGCCGGTCCTTGGTTTTTTTTTTTTTTTTTTTTTTTTTTTGCGAAACCCTTACGGAAAGGACTCCAGAACCACCGCCATGCTGCCTTCGTCGTCGCACCACAGCTTCTCCACCGAGCCCCGCGCCGACACCGCCACGTTTCTCACCATGGCCAACATCCTCACAAGCAACACCTCCATGCTTACTCTGAGTCGTAGTATATGTACCCTTTACCTGGTAATCCTTCTGAACACTTGTTCGTGAGACATGAGCCAACTGCCTCCATCACTGCCCGATAAGTAAAATTTTCCTCACTTAACCCATTGTCTACAAAACTGCTTCCATTACCTGTAAATCAAATAATACAATTAATGAACAAGTCAGACATAATTCCTGCTACTAACCAATGATTCCTTTCATACTACATCCGAAGTTGGGAATAACATATGGTTTTATTAAAGATTTTATTAAAGATGTCTATTCATAAGGATGATTTTGTCATAGAACTAAGCAATGAAATTCTGTAGTTAAAACAAGTACGCAGAGCATCGAATCCAAGCAATATAATGAAATTCTGTAGTTGTTTCGATTTTTATATTTCTTAAGAGAAACTGAAATCAAAATTAATATTAAAACACCATAAAATTTAAAAAAACCAGAACCATTCCTGCCATAGAATTCTCAGAACATAAATTTACATGCAATCTAATACAATTTACAAATGGAAACATAAATAACTAGAAGTTACTGATATCAGTTCAAAGGTTGGAGTATAATTACCGCCAATTTCAGGGATAGGCACAGAGACAGAAGAGGACGGCCTTCCAGCAACCAAACTTCCTTCAATGTAAGAAGAAGACCCTAACGGGCTTCACACAATGAGATTCGCCCATGCCCACCCATAGTACAAAATTATTGGTTGATTTGGAACTCAGAAAAGTGAGATCGAGAATTGAGAGGGAGAAGATCGAGAATCGACAGATTCGAAAGGGAGGACTAAGGAGAGGAGAGTCTTTGTGGCGATGAGATCGTCTTCGTGTCGTCGTTGTCTAGGGGGAGAATAGTGTGGGTGGGAGGAAGGAAGTCTCAAGTCGAGGACTTGAGTGGGAATCAGTGGACTTGAAGGCGGCGGATGGACGAAGAAGAAAGGGGACGAAGGATGACGAGGAAGAAGGGGGACGGATGAGGGAGTGAATCATGGATAATGGATTAGGGTTAGAGACCATAGTTAGAAACGGGCCATCCGGGGCCCTGTTTTTCTATACCCCTAAACCCGGCCCGCCCCTAAAATTTCAAAACCCCGGCCCGCCCCTCCCCGTTTCACTTATGAAAAAATTGGAACCGGCCCGTACCCGTCCCGAACCTTGATTACCCGCCCCTACCCGCGGTTCCTGTACCCGTTTGCCCACCCCTAGGTCAGTCTCCGACACTCATCAATCCTCTCCTCCTGAATCTTTGACTTTTTTACATGAAATTCATCTGGGTTTTTCTTCAATTTTAGTTAAATTTGATTTCTTTCTGGTTTACGTGGATATTGGGATCGAAAATTGAACCGCTGAATTTCGTTGTGTGTGGTTGATTGCTGAAAATGAAATCAGGCTTTTTTGGGACAGATTCTCGAGAAAGCACTTCTGCTTATAAGTACTTATGTTAGAAATGGTTTATTATTTTAATTAAATATCCAAGTGCTTTCCACAAAGCACCGGGAAGTGCTTCCTGACTGCTCTCCAAAAGTGCTTCTATGATCAAAAGCCTTTAGTTGGCAGAATGCGCTTTTTGCCTTTTCAATAGCAGTCGCAAACAGACCAGATTTTTCCCCGTTTAATCCCCGGGAAAGATGAAGAGAGGAAAGTTTATGAATATTGCATGTCATGAACTTCAATCAAGCTAAATGGTACATGTTTTTGAGTTTTAGGCTGTTTTGAATGGTTGAATTTTTTCGTGCTTGGTCAAATTGTTCCAGAAAAACGTTGATGAAGCAGTTGAGAAACTTAAAGCTCAAGGAATTGAGGCGTTGGGAGTCGTTTGCCACGTTTCGAATGAGCAACAAAGGAAGAATCTCATCAACAAGACTGTGCAGGTAAGAACATTCATCGAGTCCATGATTTTACATTCACTGTTGAAGCAAGATGCGAAATATAAACAGAAAACTATGAAAAATGTGGGATGTATAGGTTTTATTTCAGTTTTACATACAAGTTCAAAAGCTCGTAGAGGTAGTTGGCTACAGTGTTATGGTGAATTCTACTTGATTACAACCTCTGATTTAACTCACCTTCCAAAGGGGATGGTCTCTTCTCCGTTGCAATGATTCTTCAATGTCATTACGTTGAACGTTTGAATTTTACTGATTTGTTTGCAGAAATACGGAAAAATAGATGTGGTTGTATCAAATGCTGCTGCCAATCCATCAGTTGACCCCATATTGCAAACCCAAGAATCTGTGCTTGACAAGCTATGGGAAATCAATGTCAAAGCTACTATACTACTTCTCAAGGTAAAAGGCCATAGGAAGACATTATCGATCAGCCAAGAGCTCCTTTCCCATGGAAATTTTCTGCTCGAGCTGCAATAAACAGTTGCCGAGAACTTTTATACGACTTATTTTGTCCTCTACTCCCATTTTCGATGTGCATACATTTTTGGTGTAGTATGCTAGGTTATAGTACTAGATTATATTTGCAGGATGCATCTCCGCACTTGACGAAGGGTTCTTCTGTTGTTATCATTTCCTCAATTGCTGGCTACAATCCACCGGGAGCTGCCATGGCTATGTACGGGGTCACTAAAACAGTCCTTCTTGGGCTAACCAAGGTATGTAGGTGGTTCCTGTTTTACACCGTTTGTTCTTCAGCTCCGGAAGCCACACATTTTCTTCAGCTTATTCTTTGCTGGTCTTACTTTAGGCTCTTGCCGGGGACATGGCGCCAGATACTCTTGTAAATTGTGTTGCTCCGGGTTTTGTTCCTACAAACTTTGCTTCATACATTACAGAAACCGATGCCGTGGTAAGTATATATGTGCATATATAAAGGCCAACGTTGGGATATATAGTTCCTTTCCAACGTATCTTGGGCAATGGCCATTGACCCTTGTGGTTGACCGAACTTGAATGGTATTTTGTTGCAGAGGAAGGCCCTCGAGGAGAAGACGTTACTCAACAGGCTCGGTACCACTGGAGACATGGCTGCTGCCGCTGCCTTTTTGGCATCCGATGATGCTTCTTACATAACCGGAGAAACCATAGTTGTGGCCGGAGGGATGCCCTCTAGACTCTAGTTCCCTTCTTTATCAACATGTTTTTGCTCGAATCATTAAAAGAACAAGTGTTTTTATTTCAGCAAATATCAATAAAATTCACTCCTATCGATTTTCAACGTTAATTTTCGCCGTCTCATAATGTACCGTCATTCTTTCCAATCTGATACCGGGAGATATAATAATACACATAAATCTCACAAGGAGAGTATTTTTGCATTTACAATCTTGGACACGAAACATTAACGCTACATAATCCCATGCTTAGTAGAATATTAACATTTCCTTCTTGTCACAAACAATACACATTACAAGATGAAATACAAATACACGTGAGGCCGGACGGTTTATAACAAAAAAAAAGGAAACCACAGAAACCCTAGTAACTACTTTGTGTACTGCAATCGAGCATCAGACGAAAGGCAGCCGGCCGGAACCCCTTTGGGCACTCTATGAAGCTATGACTTATGTACACGAAATCAGAGCTTCCTGATTTCCAACGTTACATCATCTACAAACTTCTTCAAAGGGTGGTCGTCGGGCCTTTTTGCCCTATTACATTACCACCTTCACAGCATATTAATCCAGAGTAAGCTATATATCTTCAGTCTTTCTGAACTGCATCTTTAGGCTTACATACACTTAACCACGAAAGGAAAGAACAGAGCCGGTTGTCGTATGTGCTTTTTCCTACGGTTTCGGCCTTTCATATTTTTACATGCAAATCCCACTTCTAAAAACAACTATCATGAAACTGAATATATCTACACAGGAACGACATCAGCATTCTGATTATCATCGCACGTCAGAATGAGACCTTCAACATAGGTCGGGAGAAGGCAGCGAAACCATTGAAAGCCTGTTGACACAGGCTCCGTTGGAGGAACAATCATGACCACATTATCGTGGCGTCTGACAACCCCAATCACACTTACAGTGCTGCCCTCTTTAATATACCTGATGAGGAGGAAACATATTCTTAAAAGCCTCTAACTTGTGAACGACAGAACCTCACAATTTGTATAATCATACGCGAGTTTCTAGTTACAGGTTAAATGTAAAAATCTCTGACCATGCAAAAATTATGACTAGAAACAAAAAAGCAGCATACCCTTCTTTGAGGCGCATTACACGGTCATCGGTAGACAGGTTGCGCTCACCAAGCCAGCGCAAAAAACTTGGAGATAACTCTCTGTTTTCCTTTGTCACGTCCACTACAGTAGCTGGTTTTACGAATGGGGCAACCTTGGCTCCATAGCCAGCTTTCACTAATGCTCTTAAACCCGATTGGAAGTCTGATATGTAGAAGTCAGATACATATTTCTGTTAAAAAAAAACATAAAAATGTTAGGGCCTGTTTGGTATTTGATTTGGATCCAATGTTTTTAACTCAAAAACAAGTTTTGAGTCACAAATTTAAAATCTTTGTTTGGTAGCGGATTTGAATACAATTCTCAAAACCATAACTCAAAAATATCTGAAAACAAGGGCTATTGGATGAAAACACAAAAAGTGTGTTTTTAAACTTTTTATTTTATGGATTATCACTCCCGTCTCTCTCTCCCTCTGTCTCCTCTCTCCCATTCGATGTACTCCCTTACCTCTTCCCTCTTCAATCCTCTTTTCCCTGTTGTCTTTCCAATCCCTTCCGGCTTATATCCACCATAGCCACCACCTCTATCCTTCTCCCTCCAGCCAAGACAAATCGATCTTTCCCGCCTCTTCAATACTATCTTCTTTGTTGCCTCAATCTTATCTCTTCTCACTTGCATCCACCATAGCCACCACATCTTCCCTATGGTTGTTGGATCTTAGGTTTGAGACGCCAACATGATTAGCCTCTGTCAGCGCGAGTTTGGAGTAAGGAGTTGGTACATAGCCAAAGGAGTCGCCGCTAGGGAAGTGAGGGATGTGGTGGTCAGGAAATTGGTCTTTCGCCGCTGGGGATGGGAGGGATGCGGTGGTCGGGTAATTGCTTGGGCTGGGCGTTTGACTTTTTCTGTTTGGATTAGTTTTGAGAAAATGCATACCAAACAAAGATTTGAATTTAAAATTTTTAAATCAAAACATGTGTTTTTAGAAAAAATTAAAATTTTGAGTTTCGTTCTCAAGTTAGATACCAAACAGGCCCTTAATATTCCAGCCTGACTGAAGTCTTTAAAGTAAACAGAGAACTGCATATGCAGTCTTTTATTTGTGCAAACAATTGCAAAAGACAACGCGCAGATGGCACCATTTATGGAACTCAGGTTAATTGTACTGTATTATTGCCCCAACAAAAATCCAAGCAAGAGTTTCAAATTGTTTGCCCACCAGTGGAGGATAACAAATGCATACATAAATCTTTCAGGTCTACTCATATCTGGCTATACTCATGTCATGAATCGCATGAGCTAATTTTATCTGGTACTGCATGCCTAAAATGTTAAGTTTACATAGTTTATGAACACATATCTACATATATGTATGTATATAATGGGTTTCACTTCTCAGGGCCCTGTCAGATCAACGAGTGCAGTATATACAAATCTTTATTCTAAATCATCATCAGTCAAACTTTGACAATGAACGCAGTTCAGAGCACCTAAGCACAAATAGTCTGACAACTAACCTCTGAATGTCTAGATTTTTTATTCTCCGACTTGCGCACACAGCATCCTTTAGATTCACACAACTCGGTGGAAACATATACACACCTAGGTACCCTTTGGTAGGATGATTCCAACGGAATACTGCCACAGGTAACAACCTACATGCAGAGATATCAACATATTACAGCTGCGGTAGACATGTGCCATGTAGCTCTTCAGATTGTAGAAGCCCACGGGGAATATCGACTAAAGCCATGGGATACGGCAGCTGGTGTTTTGGTAATGTTTTGTCTTCTCATAAATTTGTTTGGTGTTTGTGGAATAGCAATATTTGGAAGTCTATTGTTAGAACACTCAATTGAATACCTTCTTGTTTTGGGCTTGTGGAAACATAATACATCGGCAGAGATTTTTGTTTTATATCTCTCAATTTTAGTTTTTTTTTCCCTAAAGCAATTTGGTCTGATTTTTTATTTGCATTATATGACATATTGTTCAGGTTTTTCTTTTCTATTTTGTTTTTACTTTGTTTTGAGAGCCTAAATAATCATTGATACTTTCTTATACATGGGTTAGTTCTTTTTATTTTTTCTAGTTGAATACCTGGGAAGAGTTGTGATAACTCAAAGTATACATCAGAAATCGAGCACATAACAAAATAATGTATCAATTGACTGTTTGGTTCCAGTATGAACAATTTACGCAGGAAGACTATACAAATAATAGACTTTCTGTCATTAGACATATCCTTTACGTTTTTATGGCAAGTGTTTGGAATTGTTGCTTCGGACAATCTCTTGTGACAAGATGCTTAAACTGATGCATGAGAAGTATAGTTCACTTTTCTCTCTGCAGAATCGTGGCATCCAGAAGTGTGATTTCAAGTATTCATAGAATTTGGTATTGCAATTTTGAGCAGATAGTTGAAGAGGCTGGAGGAAAGGTTACGTGCATGGATGGTGGAAATTTTTCTGTATTTGATAGATCCATCTTGGTATCCAACTGTGTGCTGCATGGCAAGGTTAGCCTTCTGCTTTATCCAGAATCTAATTACAAAACCTTACGTGTTAAGATCGAACTACGGTTATAGAATGCAAGATCTTAACTTTTCATTGCCTTTCTGTTACTACCACTAATCTTGTTCACTAGTTATATAACCATTAACGAAGAGTCAAAGGTCAATTCAGTTTCCCTAACTTGATGTATGTTTCTACTCATGAAGTGGCAAGCTTTCCTTTCCCTTTCCATAGTTTTCCTCAAATTTTTGTGCTAGGGTAGGTCAGGGTAGGGCTGGGTTCGGTTCTTATCGGTTCGGTTTTTTGCCAAAACCGAAACCAAACCAAAATTTCGGTTCGGCCCAAATTTTTTTCGGTTTTTTTCGGTTCGGTTTTTTTTTCGGTTCGGTTTCGGTTTTTTTTCGGTTTTTTTTTTTTTTTTTCCTCCAAAAAATGCAAAACAAGCACAACATAATATAGGAATAGAAAATATGACATGTTTCCATCTCTACGTATAAAGTCTCATAAAACTAAAAGTCTCATAAAACTTAAAGTCCAACTATAAATAGAATCAATCATCAATCAAGTTTAAGTCTTCAAAAAGTCCAAATTAAACATCAAAGTTTAAGTCTTCAAAAAGTCCAAATTTAAACATCACACAAGTCAAATAAACCTTCAAGGTTTCATCACTTCATGTCTTGCACAAATAAAATCTTCCAAGTCTTCAAGCTCAAGCTCAACGCATAGGCGGCCTAGGAGGCAACATAGCACCTTTCTTTGAGCTTCCCCTTGCCATTTCTACATACAAATAAAAATAAAAATAAGAACATGACATAATTGGCACACATACTTGGCATAATTGAAATTTCAGATTATATTTTTGGCACACATACTTGGCATAATTGAAATTTCCAGCAACTATAGTACATAGTTACTAGCGAAGAAAACAATACCGATTGATGAAAATAACATCTTGGAAAATGCCTTCATCTCTCTTAGACCGATTCTCATAATTGCAGCCTGGTCATTCAAAATAAGCAGTCACAATAAAAAGGTCGTACCCAGTGCATAAGGCTCCCGCTTTACGCAGGGTCTGGGAGAGGTGAATGTCGGCTAGCCTTACCCCCATTTTATGGAGAGGCTGCTCCCAAGAAAATAAGCAGTCACAATGACATAGAAAAAGCAGATGAGATGTGGGTTCAACTTTTACCAAAATTTTTGAGCTTACCTTTGTGTTATTTCCCATCTCCAACCCATCCACAAAACCTGCTGCTATGGCCACAACATTTTTCAGGGTTCCACATAGTTCTACCCCTTCCACATCTTGGATCTATAAATTTCAAACACGGAAAGGTGTCAATGGAGCATTCCAATATAAATTTGATGTCAATCGCTAAATCAAATTATATGCTGGGATAAGCATTTAGCGTAGCTAACATACTACCAAATTTTTACTAAATGTGTGGGAAACTAAAGTAGTTCCCGTCCGTGCCAAACATTCATGATAGTAAAAAGACTAAAAGTACACTATTATGACATTCATTGTAACAATGTATTCGATGTACTCACAGGTGTCATATATCCCATTCAGAGTGCAGTATGATATCCAAATCTAGGAGACAAATTGGTGATCCATGGTGAAGGAAAAACATAAATGAACGCAAAGATTAACCACGGAAACAAGGGCCTAGCCATCAGTGCGTCTCCTACCGACAACCATATCGAACAATAGGCCCAAAGTCAAAACCTTTTCGATTTTAAAGTATAATACTGATTCATGAAACTAAAACAGAGAATTGTAGCTAAGTGTGAGATAGGTAAACGCAAGATCTATAAGTTTAATCGACGAAAAACTCATTACAATTTTTGCAGATCCACAGTTTTTAAAGCAAATGAAAGATGATTTCTTCAAAATTCAGCTAAACAATCCCATTTCTACAACCCACAGAATGCAAACCTCAAATCATAAGATCCAAATTCGCAATTAAAAACCGATTCCAATCAGATCTACAGCAAGCAGTGAGAAACTACAAAGATCTACACATTCCAGCACACCCAAACAGCATCACAAGTAAATGAGCAACCTTTCTGAATCAAACACCGCAACACACAGAACCCAAATCGAATCATGCAAAAACAATATCGAAAAATATCCATAAACAAAAAAAATCGAAAACAACCCAATTGAGCAAAACCACGAAGCTCGACGAAATACCAAATGAGCAGAGCAGATGAATATTACCTCAGTCAATGTGAGGCGGGAGGTCGACGGCGGAGAGAGCGAGAGAGATCTTATGCGGAAGAAGAGCGAGAGAGAGAAGAGAGAGGATAGGGAGAGCTGTGTTCTTCTTCTGATGGCAGTTAACGTAGGAGATATGAGGGGTATATATACGCTCACAGCGCAGTGAAGAGTGCATTAAAGATCGTTGCTTTTTTACATTGTTGCGGTTGATGGCATCTGTGAGCTTCTCACCACTTGGTAATGTTTCCTCAACCGTACGGCTCTGCTTCTTCTTCACCTCATCCGAATTCTTCTCCAACGCCGCATGCTCCTCCTTTTCGAGATCCTTCTCCTCCAGATCCGCCAATCGGCGGGCCTCGGACTTCCGCGTGGCA